TAATGTTGGACACTAACCGCTCTTGTGTAATGGTGTGCAGTGTGATTAAGGCAGGGAAGATACAGGTGGTATTGGGGACTGCCACAGATTAGAAACCCCAATTTACATGAGTCAAAATCCACCTGTTGTACTGAAAGCTCTCTGGATCTAAGCCAGATACAATTATTTTAGATGCCTTCTCTTTTCCAAACAAGTTGTATAAGGTCTAGTCTATAAATTCAATAATTTCTCATCTGCACCTAGACGTCAATACCATATCCCCTATAATAGTTTTCTTTATATAGGAGTCTCTTCTTACTCCTGATCTGTTATGTGTGAAGGTACTTGTTATTAGCTTTATGCTAAAGAGATTGATAAGTTACAAATGAGCTTTGTAACTTATTTTACAGGCAGAATTCTTGACAAATTGTATTGAATTAAATTTTATTATTGTATCTGATTTTATTTCTCTCTCCTACTATTTTACTTGGGAATTGCAGTGAGAAGCCTAGACAGTTTCAGCTATTGTGGCAATATAGATTTTTTTAAAAAGTTTAAAGTTTAGTATTGGTGAACACAGATAATTAAGTAAAAATTAAGATATAAATCTGATGAATCCAGCACTCTAGTAAGTTCTCTATTTGGGAGCAGGCTTCTTTTGTTTTTATCTCATACTCCAGTGAATTACTGTGTGTCCTTAAATTAATAGCAAATCCCAAATAGTGAACCTTTCCTCATTCAGCCTTGAATAGTAACCCCGCTTTTTAAGCCAAAACCATTTTATTGTGCATTTTGAAATCAGAGTATGGTATGTTCAGTGAATTCAGCTATTGCTTTGAGGAGTCCTGATGGTGCTATTTGAATTCAGTCTAATTTATCAATGGGTAATATAAATCTTGTCTTCTTCTCTTTGGAAGGAAAACTTTGATCTATCTCAAGGAAGTACACCAGAGATCAAAGAAACAGAAACTGTTCATTCCAATTTGTATCTTTCTAGCCATAACTATTCTGGACTAAAGGACAAACAAGCAAAAGAAGTATTTTACACCACAGTAGGGCTTTATCAGGTATATATGCAAGCACCCTGAATAGATATATACCAAATAGATATTTATTTTATTCACATCTACTAACTGTATGTTTTCTGGTGCCCTTCATGTTGTTTCTACTATGCACAAGTGAATAGGGCATGAGCTATCAAACAGAATAAAAGCCAGAATATTTTGCAGGATTCATAGGTAGGATGATAAATGTGACAGCCCCAGTTTAGGCCTTTTCTAAATGGATTTTTATTGAAATGTTTTTTACTAACCCCAACCTCCTCCCTTCCCCATCCCCTGCTCCACCTCTCCAAAGCCCAGCTACATCCTCAGAAAAACAGCTGAGTTCTTTTTGCACCAGCTGTGTGTGGAGGGGCAGAGAGAGACAGAGCCGGGCTTGGCAACCAGAGTCCAAGCTCAGGCATTCCAGGCCTCAGGGCTGGTACTCCAAATAACTCTCCTACCAGTTGTTCCCAACAATACATCCCCAGAATGGGTAATGCAATATAATCATGCAGACGTAACCTCAGTGTGCACTACATGGCCACTTTTCCCCTTTCTTTAAAACAATTTTGAAATTAACCATTCGTCTTTCACATTCTGCCTTTCCTGCCTCTCATTTTTAGGGAATTCTTGTTGCTCTCAAATTCATTGATAATCAGACAGATGCCTCTACTTGGAAACCATCATTTCTTCAAGAAATTCAGATGGTATGTTCTACTCTTAACATTTTTAATGTGATCTGTCAAAATCTGTATTTGAGGTGTAAAGTGACAGTAGATGTTAATGAACCAGGAAGTTATTTGAGATTTACCTCTGATATTCACCCTGAAGTATGTAGGCTTATGGAGTCACATAAACAAATTTCCACACAAGCTTGATTTATGGGATGCTCCCAAGATCCCTCAGTATCAGATTGACATTGGACAATCATAGCAATTAAACAGCATCAGTAAATGTAAGTCTTTTGTGGCCCAGTCTTAGGACCCAAATAGCCCAAAGCATCCAATAACTGACCTCTTCTGCAGTGGAAGTAGAAAGAGGCATAAGTTGGTGCCTCTTTCTACTGAAAAAGACTCTGTATATGTGACAGAATTTGAATATGGTTTGGACTTGCATAAATGATGCCTAGACCTGGTAGCACATTTACTGATATTTTTTGTTTCAGATTAGAGAACTGAGACATGAGAATCTGGTGGTCTTTTACGGGATATGTCCTGAAGTTCCCAACATATGCATTGTAATGCATTACTGCAAGAAAGGAAGTCTTAAGGTGAGCACTTTGTGTTAAGTTTTTGAAAAATTGTCCCATCAAGTCAGATAGCAATAATCTGATCCTGCTATAGCCTTTGCTCCCTTCCATCAGTAGTAAAACAGATGGTAGAAGATTTACCTCATCTTTCCATAGGTGTAAATGGGGCCTCCAGGATGGACAGCCTCCTATACTGCTTGTGTTATGTCATTTCCACTAACATTAAAGGAACTCCATGTCATCTTAATCCCTTATTCCAGGCCATCTGCAGGAATTCAGACTGGTCTGTCCCTTTGGATCTAACTCTTAAAAATAGCATCACAGCAACAAATCAGTTGTAAAATGAGACAAAAGGGGAGGAGTCAAGATGAAAAACAAAGATGACCTGCATGGAAAGAACATAAGAGCCATTCTAGGACCCATCCAGTCCAGCATTCTTCTTATAGTGTGCTAGGTGACTAAAAGATCCCACAAGCAGGACATGAGAGCAACAACACCTTTCTGCCCAGGTTCCCCAGCAACAGAATCCATATGCATACTGCTTCTAATACTGCAGTTTGCATACAGCCATTGAGACCAGTAGCTGCTAAGAGCCTTCTCGTCCATAAATGTGTCCAATCTCCCTTTGAAGCCAACCAAATTGGTGGCTGTTACTATATCTCATGGTAGTGAATTCCACAGTTTAAGCATGTGTGAATGCTTTTATCTGTTCTGAATGCCCACCAATCAGCTTCATGGGATAAGCCCAGGTTCTAATATTATAGGAGTGGGAGACACGTGTCTTCCTACCCCCCTTTCTCCACTTTTTGTTGAATTCTATATACCTCTGTCAAACTTCCCCTTACTCACCTTTTTCCCTAAACTAAATGATTTCAGCTGTTGTAATCTTTCCTCACAAAGGAGTTGCTCTAACCCCTTGATCAATTTAGTTTCCTTTTTCTGTACCATACACAGAGCTCACAGTATTCTGAGTACAGTTGCATGGCAGATTTCTACAAGCAGTATGATATTAGCAGCTTTATTTCAATTTCTGATGTGGAGTTTGACATTTTCATGGCAGGCATGCACAGAGTCAACATTTTCATTGAACTGTATGCTACACGCCAGGATCGCTTTCTGTCACAATCACTGCTAGCTCAGATCCCTTCAGCTTATACCTGAAGCTGAGAATTTTTGCTGCGAAGTGCATTACTTTACACATGCTTACACTGAACTGCTTTATGACTAATGGGGTGAGCTAAAAATCTAATTTGCCATTCTGATACCCATTCTTCCAGTTTAGATAGATTATTTAGAGTTCCTTACAATCTTTTTTAAACCACCCTAAGTCCTTTGGTGTTATCATCAAAGGGTCTCTTGCAAACCAAAGTATTTTGGTTCCAAGAACATTCAAAGACATAACTGAAGGATGGAAATGGCTGTGGGAAAAGCAATGAATTGAATCAGCACATGAAAACTACACTTCAAATAAAATATTTGCTCTGATTGTTTTTCTAGGATGTTTTGAGGCATTCTGACATTGAACTGGACTGGATATTCAAAATCTCTTTTGCCTATGACATAGTCAATGTGAGTATGTACTAGCGGAATCACTTTTCACTGCTAGGACAGCGTAGCAGCTGAATACCAAAAGAAACTGGAAATATTAGTATCTCCAACCACAAGCATATATTGCTCTTGTAAATGTGTGTGATATGTACGAGGCTGTTGAAACTTAACTTCCCGCAGCTAAGACAGAAATCCCAGTGAAACCTTTATTACAGTAATTACAGTAATTAGCAAAATGCCTTTACAGTCCTAGTGAAGATCCATAGTTAACAGATTACCAATATTAACACAGTTCATTGACAATATCAGTTCACAAGCATCACAGTAAAAGACAAATTCAGGCCTGGGTTCAGTGCACAGAATTAATCCCAATAAGATCACAGATCCAGTGAAAGTGTGAAGCTTTCTAATCTTTCTGTGTGTTGTTTACAGTAAACTGAACCATGAATTGCTCTGATTTAAATACCAGATCAACATCAGACATTTGATCTTGGAAAGAAAACCTCACTCTCAGGTGGTTATTTGTACCTCCCTGGATTGCTGTTGCACAAAAGGAGGCATCCACAAAAATGCCTCTTCTGCAGAGACCGCCTGCTGTTGCTACAATCCCATTGAAATCGTCTCTGCTTGAGAAGGAAAGGCTTCAGTTAAGGTCAAGTCTCCCAGCTGTGGAAGATAGTTCTCAGACTAGGTCACACAGGGACAGCTTTTGTGTATAAGGCTTTTACCATTCTCTGATGTGTGGATACTTCAGATGGTGTGGTCATCTGCTAGAGCCTTTTCCATGCTTTCTTAGCATTTTTCAAGTCTAGCCATTGAGGAAATGGCAGAATGAAATACTAGAGTAGTTGCACAATTCTGTTATATCTTGGTGCTACCTAGAGTTATGTAAGAGAGCATATAAGAAGAGAGATATCCCCCACCCCACAAAAAATGTATTCAGGATTCCATCTTAATCCCTAATGCAATTTGGAAGTAGAAACCATGATAAAGTGGTGGGTTAAAGGCCTCATCTTGAAAAGGCAAAGGTCAACTAGTCTGGACCTCAGTCTAAGAGCACATGGATGGTCAAATGATGCAAAAATGGTTACCTCGCTTCTAATAGTGCTGTATCACTTGGAAACTCTACATTAGTGCTTTAATATCAGAAGTGGCTTTCCACTGTCTTCAGAGCACAACTTTGGCTGTAGTTTCTTCTAACTTTCAATTCCTAAGTAGCATAAACTATGTATGGACATTTTCTTTTCATATTATATTAATCAGCTAACATCATATGTTTGATTATTCCATTCATGTACCATGATTGGATGGAACAAGCAACTCAAATTGTGTTTTCAATAGATAGCTCTCAGCTGTGGAATTTTTTTCACTTTAATATTTCCCATCTTCTCCCTGCTGCACTAGTCTTCAGTAGTCTTATTTTAGGCTTTAATAAATAAACTTTTATGCTTCTCTAGTTTTTATTTGGCCGTTACATTTCACACTAACAGTGATTTTCTGACTTTACTAATATCTTTACATTCTCTCTCTCTCTCTCTCTTTATGTGTTTGAATACTCATTTTTAGGGTATGTTGTTCATCCACAACAGCCCTCTGAAGTCTCATGGAAACTTAAAGCCTACAAATTGCTTGGTTGACAGCCGCATGCAAGTGAAGCTGTGTGGATTTGGCTTGTGGGAATTTAAATATGGAAGGGAATCCAGAGTAGTAACAGAGGAAGGGACCAGTTATGCAGGTAAGGGTGTTAAATACTTTGGACTCCACCAGACATCACCCATCAGAGTATTTTTACCTGTGACAACACAGTGGTAAAAGACCTTTTATCGGCACTAAGTATATTTCCAGACATGAAGGATGTGCTACATTTCTAGTTCTGAGTTACATTCTGCAGAAAATGATTGTTGAATCCTGCTGTCATATGATTTCATGATTTCATTCCCTGGTTGTGTATGATATTAATACCCAGGGACCTGGTTCACATGTGATGCCAGTTCATGGGTAAATGTTGAGCCTCTGCACAGCATCTGCTCTCCATGATATGGGGCAGCGGAACACCCTGTTCTGTCTTGTTAGCTGTATCCACCTAATATGGAACTCTGGCTTGTTGAGGATTAAACAACCCAAAGTTTTGACACAACAACAAACTAATGGTTCAAACTGAGATTCAAATTTCACAGCTAACAGCCCAGGAACATGGTGTTCTGGGTTGCTTCAGAAAGTAGATGCAAAACAGAAGTTGCAAGTACATAGAAATGGCATGCTTGCTTACTATTTATTCTATTATATGCTAATCCACTCACCATAGGCTCTCTGGATGGCTTACAACTTGATAAAATTCATAACAGAACACAAAAACTCACAATTACAAAGGACCAATAACAATAACTTCCATAAATACACTACCAAAATTAAATAAAGCAAAATAAAACAAAAAAGAATAAAACAAGAGATAAAATATGCATTATATAAAACTCTAAAATAAAACATGCACTAATTAAAATTAATTTATATCTAGGATTTCAAAACATAATGGCAGCAGCATTTAATAACATAAAAACTCCAAAAGTCACCCTCATTCCTAAGAACATATGTCACTTAGCAACATAGGTTGAGCCAACTGGGTGCTCCTGGCAGGAGCACTGCAAAGATTTTTAAAAAGGAAAACAATTGAAAATGCAGTCGGTGTAATAGTTTAGAACAGCCTTTCCCAATGCAGCGCCCTCCATTTGTGTTAATTTGCAACTCCAGTTTTTGAAGACATCACAACCACTGGGGAAGACTACTTTAGATAGTCTGTTGGGATAAAGATGAGCTTACCTCTCCTATTTGGTGAATATAGGAAGAAACTTTTCACTTTCAGAGAAGCTTGCCAGTGACATGGGAAATGCTGCTACAGAAACAAATATGCTTCTGTATGAAATGCGAACTGGGAAATAGGGATGCCTGTGGACTCCATTGTGAATTCCAATAGATAATGACCTGATCTCCATTTCCCATATTAATGTACAGATTGAAGCTTAGCTAGACCAAAATGTTGTGACACAGGTCTCTACCTTTTTGAATATATAAAAATGCTTTTAAAATATACATTTAGAGAAAAATATTTCTCAACACAAACCTCAGTCTACTGCAGAAATAGAACGGAATGTTCAAGTTACGATTCATTCCTCATGAAAGGAAAACAAAATCTGGGATGAAACTGTAGTATAACAGGGGATTTAAACAGATTGCTCAGGATATGATAAGCCCTTCAAGTGAGTTACTTAAAGTCAGTCCATCCTAACTCCCCACCTTTTACACTTTTGCTTTTTTTTTTTTTTTGGTAGATCTCTACTGGACAGCTCCTGAATTGCTAAGGATGGGAGAATATCCATTCCATGGCACCCAGAAGGGTGATGTTTACAGCTTTGCTATTATTATGAGGGAACTGATACATAATCAGGAAGATGGTCCATTCCAAGATCTAAACAAGGATGCAGAAGGTGATTTTTGGGTTTTTGGTAACAACTTTGAGATATGTTCCATGCTTCATTTTTCTTACCATGTAGATGGTCGGTGTATTGGGGGGGGGGGGGGGGATTAAAACAATATGGGATATACTGTGCAAGTTAATTAGCCTGTTAATTTAAAGGATAATAAACTTGAAGTAATGACTTGTGAAACTTGTCTGCACCTCCCTATTGAAGACTATGTCTATCTTAGAGACACAACCAGTACAACTATTCCTGAACTATTGGCATCAGAAAGATAGGTGGAACATGGTTCATTTTTTCCATAAGTAATACAATACGTTCTCCATAAAAATGACGTGTTATTTTGTATTCCTAATATTCCATCACCTGCTAATGGAATCTTTCCATCTCTGCCCATCAAAAAGCATTTTGTATTTCCTTTAGACCAGTGCAAAAGCTGGTGCTGAAACCTGAAGGGGGAAATCAGCAGCCACAATCTTCTTTCCACCAGAGAAGCCTCTGCTGGAACTTGTGGGGAGGCAACTCTGTCTATTCTATACTTTGATAGAAGGGAATTATCTCTAAGATTGATAGAGTAGGGATAGTAAATATATTGCACTCAATATAAGGTGGCCAAACAAGATATAACATTCATTACAGTACACATGATTTTTGTTACATAAATAGCAATCAAGGGAAAGCTTATGCATGCTTGAAACTGTGGAGTCATGGAGGCTCCCCTTGAAATGCAATGCTTTTCTGGAGAGAAAGCATTAAACTTTAATCTTCATACTCCTGAAGTTGCACGGGCTTCCCCTTGGCTTCTGCTTACATAACAAAACATGTGTATCAATTATATTGATTAATGTCAAGTCTTGTTTGTCCCCAAAGAAAATTATATCATATATGATCCCCAACATTGCACTGATTCCAGGAAGTCTATGAGGAAAAGAAAAAATCCGTAACTGTGAATTCTTTAAATAAAGGAATTTGCTATATCTCTTTTTACCTTGTTTGAGTGTTTCCCAGAGATTATAACAAAAGTTTTGATCCCATTATCTTATTCAGCAGCAACAGAGACAAATCCCACACATAAGTATGAAATAACATTAAAGGGAATGAATTCACTGGCCAGTGCTGTTACATGGTTACACTGAGCTCTTAAGGACTTCTTTTGTGCAGTGCCAGCAGCATGGCCTCTTAGAGAACTGAAAATGAAAAGGCCTTATCTAGAGCATGACTTCAACTAGCAAGAGAAATAACTGTTGAGTCATTACCTATCCTGTCCCAGAGAGTATGGCTGGGTTCATCAACAGTAGCTGTAGATCTCTAACAAGCAGGGCTCACCAGCCTAATCTTTGTTGCTTCCAGCAAAGTTGAAATATTTTAAAAATCAAGTAAGTGAAAGCAAAATGTATAATATTCTGAAATCTGACTGATAACCATTCTTTACTTCCAGAAATAATAAAAATAATCCAGGATCCTAACTCTCCTGTTCCACTCAGGCCTTCTCTTTCGACAGAGAAATGTAATGAAAGCATCATTGCACTTTTGAAAGCATGCTGGGATGAGTATCCAGAGAGGAGGCCAGCATTCTCCGATGTAAAGACAGCCCTGAGAAATGCCAGCCCTGAAGGGTGAATCCTTTTCTTCTAATAAAAAACCTTCATGTGATTATTAATCACATGCAAAATGTTTTTACATCTAGCATATCAGTAGGGATGGGTGATTTTGTGAAGCTCACTTTTACTCAGTTTATTGAATTTCCACAGTTGTTTCTTCTCCCCACTTTCCTCTGCAACATGCACATTTTTCCTTTAAAATCTTTGTGAAAACACATAATTTTGTCCATGCAGATTTCTCTTGATAAGCACATTTTTGTGCATCGTTTTTCAAATGGAGGCATTTTACTCTATAATATATACTGATTTTTTGGTGCAGCTTTTCCTAATACGCAAAACTGTTGTAAGCATTTTTAAAAAATTTGATGAACTTGTTTACAGGTTTTGAAAAATTGTATTCAGATTTTGTGTATAACTTCAGGAAATTTGAACTGGATAGGTTCACAGTGGATTGCAAGTCAAATAAAATTATCACCCATCCCTGCATGTCAGGCTGTTATGGAAGTTATAAAATAAAGCACACATGGAATGCATATTGATCAGTACCTGAATTGCTTGTCTCCACCCTGAACAGGCAAATGGAACTACTGGTGAACTGGAAACCAAGAGTTTCTGATCAGTATCAGAGACCAAGCTAGTAGCATTTTAATTCTGATATCGAATTAGTGCTGCCAATGCTGTTGAGTAAAATTTGCAATTTGGGATATCTTATATATGATTTCGTAGAATCTTGTAAGGCAAAATGAAAGCACCAACTCTCAATGTGAGTTGAGTCTGCATGCAGCACCATTGTCTCCATACAGGATAACAAAGATTGAAATACACACATCCTATGCAGAATTGGTAAACTCACAAATCATTAAAGCAATCCAAGATAGAACAGTGCATTCTGTCACAATGAATGCACAGTTTGTGGAAGTTAATCAATGTTTCTTGCAATATTTACTTCTGAACATTTCCAAAGCCATTTCAGTATATTGGACAACATGGTGAATAAACTGGAAAAATATGCAAATCATCTGGAGGAAGTGGTTGAAGCAAGGACAACCGAGTTGTTGGCAGAAAAGAAGAAGACAGAAAAGCTTTTATCTGCTATGCTACCTGGGTAACTGAAACTCTTCTGTGTTCCTAAGGGATATTCTGCTTGACAGTACAATGCCTTTTCCTGTTAGAAGGAATTCTGCCCAAGAACTGATTTGACTCTTAAAGTATTTTATTGTGGCCCGCAGTTCTTGGCTAGAATCTCAGTACCTTTACTTTTAATCATTAAATATGGAGAGAGTTACAGAACACTTCTAATCCCCTTGCATGCATGTTGGGAAGGCTTAGACTGGAGCAAAAGAGCTCCTCCTCTGAAAGAGAGACGTTCCAGTAGTAGACCACATCTGACCCAGAGGCCTCTCATTACAGCCATAGAGAGCTCCATAAGCATAGGAGTGTAGTTGATGGTATTTCTATCTGTGACTGGGCATGCTCTGGAGCATTCTGAAGGAAGCCTTGGATCCAGAGCCCCCTTGCTTTCCTGAAGGATTCCATATCAAGACCCACCCAAGGCTCCCATTATTTCCCTCCTATTGGTGTCAAGGTTTTCTCTTGCCGTCAATTTCAGAGGGAAACTCTGAAACGCCTTCATCCTCACCTGCCCCATAGACATAAGCTCCTGGGGCTTTGATAGCGGTATCTCATCACCCATTGAATGTTCCCCACTTCTAAAGGTCATGTCAGCAGAGGATATAGGATTGAAAATCCTATTGTTCCTCTTATTGGGCAACCAGTTATGACTGGGGTCTCCAATGTGGAGCCTATGGACATCTGTCTTGGAGCCCACCATACTCTTAGTACCTCCTGATCTTTACATTAATTGTTAAAATAGAACAAAAGTTTATTTATTGTTTTAACTAGCAGTGTAGCTTGCCACAAAAGTACAACTGTCCAGCATAATCATTTTTTGTGTTCAAGGGTGTTATGTTTTGGAGTTCAGGCCTCGCCTTTGCCTTGTGCTTTAGGTCTTGGACAAGTTACTTTTTTTTTTTTTAGTCTCATCAGTGTCTTTTCCCAGTTTTCTTCGCTTCACTCCAAAGTGTGCTGTTCCATTTAAAACCAGAAATTTCTATCTTACACACCTGAACTCACAGTTTGTTAAACTATGCATGCTTCTCACTTGCAAGCGTGAATTCAGACTGGAACCACATAACTCTGGAAGGGAAGACTTAAGCTTTTTTTCCATGAAGTACCACCTATAGAATTTAGTCCATGAGGCAGAGCTAGAAAAGAGTCTCCACTGATTCCAATTGAATTTTTTAATCTCTTCCTCCAGAGGGTGTGTGTGTGTGTGTGTGTGTGTGTGTGTGCGTGCGCGTGTGTGATATTATTAAAAATGTATGGGAGGAAGCTTAAATCCTTTCCTTGAAAGGGGTTAACTCTATGCAAGGCCTTACATGACTGAATGACAAAGCTGAGAGTGATTCTTTGTTTATTCTGTAGTAAACAGAGAAAACAGAAACATTGCAGTACATTACGTTTCACCTATATTCATGTTTCAGCTTCGTTGGAGGACAGCTTATTGCTGGGAAATCAGTGGAACCAGAGAGCTTTGACTCTGTATCCATTTTCTTCTCAGACATTGTTGGCTTCACTAAATTATGCTCTGTCAGCTTTCCACTTCAAGTTGTCAATCTCCTCAATGACCTGTACAGTCTGTTTGATAATATCATCAAAATATATGATGTCTACAAGGTAGGCAAAACTTGATTCCTTAGGAAAGGATGTGTGCTATTATTCTTCTCAGTACTGATGAGAGAATTTTGTTTATTTAAAATTGTTGCCAGGCTGCCTTTAAGGTTAAAGCCCTCTTATTGCATTGACTATATAATGACATCTTTATCTGGAGATTGTCATGAAAAAATGATAAGGAATGTTTTTCCTTCATCACTTCATGTGCCTGCCATATGTAGCTTCACTTCCCAAGAGGGACAGAAGGGTGTAGAAACATGTTAATTGCCTGTGTATGTAGCAGAGAAACAAGTGGTAGAGTCATGCAACTGGAATGTGTTACTCCTTCACAGAGCTCTCTCCTGAACTTGTGTATACAGGCTTTAGCACAATTGAGATATTGTAGCAAACCGCTGAGCAACTTGATGAACATATGCTTAGACTGACCTTTAAAACTTTTTGTTGATAATCTGATGTGAGATTCAGAGATGCTCTGAGTGGTTCTTCAGCAGCCATTGCAAAAACCTGATGGCTTAAACAAAGACATGTTTGTGCTTCAGCTATATCCTTCTGTGGTGAGTAAATCAGCCATACCCTTTCAAACAGTTGAAAAGCAAGACTTCCTTACATGTACTTAGCACTGAAATGAGTTGCCATTAACACTGTTGCTCTTGGTGGCCCACTTTTATGCCAGCAAGCACCAATAATAATTTCTACTGTTTATAGGTGGAAACTATTGGAGATGCCTATATGGTTGCTAGTGGCCTGCCCATTCGTAATGGAACAAAACATGTTGAGGAAATTGCTACGATGTCCTTGCACTTTCTCAGTGAAATTATCTCCTTCAGGATTAGGCACATGCCAGATGAGAAACTGAGGCTACGTATTGGCATTCATACTGGTAAATAGCAAAATCTCTTCTGAACTTGAGTTTAGAGCTTTTGTAATTGAATTCTGCTAAATATGAAGAGGATGAACAGTTTAGACCCTCTGTCCTGCACCCTTTATATGACCAATAGTTTTACCTTCTGGATGTTTCAAAGGAAGGTGAAAATGGCATTTTACATATCATGCGCTGTACACTTGTGGGCTGTGTGTGTAAAGCTTAAAGCACTACACAGTTCTCAATCATGTGGAATAACTTCATTCTTCTCTTCTGCTGCCTGTGTGGAGGCTGGGTTGTGTGGGAAAGAATGTGACACAGTGTTATTGCATTCACTCTAGCATTAATCTGCCTGAGACATCCAAACCCAGAATGCTGTGATAGCTGGTCCTTCAATAATGAAGAAAATGAAATGCGATTTAAGCCAAAAGGCAGCATGTTGGGTTCCCAGGCCACCTTGTTCAACTTTTTATAACAAATAGCCCCATCCTAGGATTTGTTGCACCAGCATGTAAGGACCTAGGAAGGTGTGTATCAAAAGCTAATTCATTCAGCATCATACAAATGATATGCTGATATTGTACTGAAGTAAGAGACCAATAATTGGCTCATACATTATCAGCATGCAAATGAAATATAATAAGTATATTGTAGTTAACTATGTGTAGTTGCATAGTCCATATTCAGCATATAAGTCTATCTAGTTCAGTTTGTATCCTGTCCAGTTGCAAGGACACTGTGAAAGTTACATCACAGTTCAGGAGCAAATAAATGCATTTTAAAAATTCTACTATTAGAAAATAATAATATTAAGAGCTACATATCTTTGACATTTATCACATTTTTGTACAGACTGACAAATGAAACAAACTGAGATAGTGGGGGAGGTTCCTTTTCCCTTTATCTTTGTTTACATTCATGTACTTAGGATCAAATTAATGTGGCTTAAGCTGTAATGAAATCATGATGCCTTATGATCAATAAGGCAATCTATTTGCACTGCACCAATAGTACTCACTAGAAACCCAAACCACACACACAAGCATCAGAAAAGAGGAACAGGACCAAATCAAAGAGAAGTGTATTAAAAATAATAGTGGAACCACACTCACTTGCTTTGCAAGATAACATTAAACAGGCTTGGGGATTCAGAGATATTTGATTGTCAACTATGAGAAGCAAGATGGTGGACAAGAGAACTTAGGTCTAACCCAGTAGGTTTGCCTTATGCTCCATGAAAGTAATATGGAGCAGAAGTAGGGTAGGAAGGAGCTGATGTGGAACAATGTTCCACATGAAGTTCCTTTGTGTCCCATAGATCTGTGGAAACATGCTTAGCTGTTGGCACTCTTTCCTGCCTTGCTGAACTCATGTTTACACCTCATGCCAAATGTACTGTACCTGTATTTTAGCAGAAGAAAGTGGTTTATTTTCCTTGACATTCAAGGAGGAAATATAGGCATTCTGTTAATTACTAACCCTATAATCAGAAGGAGCAACAGTTTCTTGGTGTAATTCAAGATTTGGTTCGCATGTGCAGGTTGTTTTAAAATGGGGATTTAAATCTGCATCTGGTTTTCCTACATGTGAATTCATTCAAACAGGGGCAAAAACATTGAAAGTCTACTTGAATGTGTCAGTCTCTATTCTGCTCTACTGTTTTTCCAATAAGTGAGGAGATTGATCTATGAGAAGCAGGACATGCAATTGATTAACATAATTTGACCTTGGTTGAGCAATAGCTCAATGGGTAAGAAAAAATCTTCACAAACATAATCCCCTGGGTTTCTGATAGAGGGCTTTGAGCATGCTATTTGGCTTGTTGGTACGTAGAGAAGAATGCTGGATTCATTAAATACAGCTTACTTTCAGTTCAGTATATTCCATATTTAGCACATACAATATGCTATCATATTGACGCATATGCAAGTTCCATGGTTTTCAATCAGTTTACTCCCAAGCAAATGGGTTTAGGACTGAAGCGTTAGACAGTAGCATCGGCAGAATTCTATTTAAAGCAAATATTAACATTTTTTTAAATGGACATGTCACTTGGATCCTGTACTTCAAAGGGAAACTGTTTAATCAAGACTCTCTGTGCAAGACTAATGTTTTCTAAAACAGGAAAGTATGGACAACCCCCACCTTCCAAAAATATGCAGTCATAATCAATTTAACTCTGTGATGGCAATGTGCTTGAAGCCAACTGTTTATTTAGTACCTTGAGTATTATTTTTCCATGTTGTGTGATGCTTTTCATAGAATGGTTGGATATAAATTAAATACATACATGAATGCCTACATCCCTCAGTAAGAAGCACAGCATGTCGGAATGTTTTGTTTATTTTCTGTGTGGCTGATCTCTTCCTTGGTACTTGTTGTTTTAGGCCCGGTGGTTGCAGGAGTGGTGGGGATCACAAGGCCACGCTACTGCCTCTTTGGAGACACAGTGAATACAGCCTCAAGGATGGAAAGTACCAGTTTGCGTGCGTCGTGTTCATTGATTATAATGACTCTTGTCAACCCAATGCTGTCCAGAGGTCTCCAACTGCACTTGCCAGGTTTCTTGACCATTGGCCATGCTGATGGCAATCAAAGCTTACAACATTTGGTTGGCTCTAGATTGGGGAAGGCTAATGTAATCCATAAAGGTTGGATTGTAGAATATAACATAGAAATGTTATAATAATAATAATAATAATAATAATAATAATAATAATAATAATTGTTAACACATCCTGCTTCAGAAGCCAATCCAAGAGACAGCAGCTGCAGAATAAATCAATACAGTGCACAACAGATGAAGAATGTTGAGCCATGTGTAATAATGAAGGTGCTTCCTCAGGCCATTTACTGGGAAACAGCAAGAGAAATGGTATTGGCTTCATGCCCTCATTCTAGGCTTCCTGGAAGTTGTTCATTATCGATGATATACTAGTGGGTGGGCTTTAACATTATCAGTTACCAATTAATTCTCAGACCACCCTAGCCTTTGTCTAACTGAAATTAGTTACACTTGTCCCTTTTGTCCTATACCATACCAAAATCCTAATGCTGGGAGAATTAACTAATATGAAAGTTATTTATTAGTCATATGCTTTTCACTTTCCTTACCCATACTAGCTGTCAATCAACCAAACTTTGAACAGGGTTTTTTTTCTGTCTCTCCTTTGTAGCTCTCCAAATCCATGTTTCTATGATCACAGCAAATGCTCTCCAAACCATTGGGGGTTATGATTTGCAAGAAAGAGGAACCATAAGAATAAAGGTATGCTTGTCATAAAATTGGAGAATCATAGCACTGATAAGTACACAACAATGATCTAGTCTAAATATCCTGCCACAAGATTTAAGATTCCACAGACATTATAACAAGCGTCTGAGGCCTTCCTTTGAGCACCACCTCCAGGGAAGGTTTAGAGAGTGGGAACAAGGGGAGAGACTCCCCAGAGGCACTGCCCTCACTATGGAATGACCTCCCTATGAAGACCCACCTGTTCTGTCATCCATTTGGTGCCAGATTCAGACAGAGACATTTAAAGATATTCCAAAATATTTAATGGCTTGATGACCTGTTTTTAGCAGTTCTACTCTGTATGAAATACTGTTTTTTAAGATCTGCAGTTTGGAAAGAATACATGATGTTTTATTGCATCATGGTCCTGTTTTAGGGCCTTTTTAGACTGTCCAGAGAGTTACAACTATGGAAATGAATAAAGCAAGCCATGGGTCCTTAGAATTATAACTGGATAGGTTTTTGGTGGTAATAACATATTTAAGAAAATCCCTAAAGTACAGTGAATGATGCTTCCCATCTTCCATTCAGAACTGTACATTTATCTCAGCTGAGTGATAGGAGCTTCTTCAGTTCTTATGCTTCATCAGAGGAGAGAGAAACCATAAGAAGAGCCACTTAGATAAAGCTGCCAACTGAGGTCACTTACTGGTTTTTCTGGAGGCAAATGTGTCCTGAACGAAGATTTGAGCACTAGAAGAAAAGGTGGCAAAATCAAAGATTCTGTCTTCCCTTCTACCTGTTCCATTGCTTTTTCCATTGAAGGAATTCTTTTTATTCCATAAAATGCCATCTCCAGAAAATGTGTCTATTGGTTTGCGGGGCAGCTGTTGTTTGAGGCAAACCCTGCTTTCATATTATTTTTCTTGACCCCCAGGGAAAAGGACAGCAAAAAACATTCTGGCTGAAAGGCAAAACTGGGTTTAACATGCCTCTACCCAAGTTCAGCAGTGATGTGGCAAGTTGCCCAAAGAGAAATGTGGAGGTAGGACTTTGGCTTAGTTTTCTATGTAAGGCAACAAATCTAGTAATATTATAAGTTATACAATGTTATATAACTTTTGTTAACTGCCCAGACAGCCTCAGCTATTGGGTGGTATAAAAATGAAATAAATAAATAAATAATAAAGCCATCAGCAAAAACTGATAGCAATGTAATCAGTAGTACACCTGCAGAAATTATACAACAATTTAATGTGATTAATATTAAAGTTGTCAGAAAAACTCTTCTTAATTATCTTCAACACTCAATAAATGGAAGGAATTTGTTTTATTCCCACTATCTTTTACTTTGGGCTTCGGTCTGCCATATTCTGTCTGAATGCACAGCTAATGCTGCATCCCCCTGCCCCCACTCCAAGGCTCTTCTGTTTTGGTATTTTCCATTCTAGAGGTGGCAAGATTTATTCAGTTAAGCCTATGATACTTTTGTGGAGTATGCAAAATGCCTATTGGTTGTCTTAAGCTCTTTATCAGTACCTAGAGGAAGTCAGTTTTCAATTAATGGTCACAGTTAAATAAATGTGATTTTTAAAAACACCACTTCAGGATGTATTTGGCTTTTCAAGGAGAACACACAACAGATGTAGAAGTCACCTGGAATATATACTGTGAGTCCCAACAAATCTCGATAATTGTATGGCTCAGCTTCACAAAGATGTACAGATCTGCACAGGAAACTCTTTTAGGTCATGTTCATTATGCAATACTGTGAATTTCATTCAATCTGCATGTTGACAGTTCTGGATGCTAATTTTAACTCTAAAAATACACAATTTCCATCTACTATTCAGTGTGGTGCAAACTGGGGGCACTCAAGTGTAGCACACAATTATCAAAAATATATGATTTATTGGTATTATATTACACTGTCCACTATGCAAAATCTCACTTTGTGTAATACATATTTGCATCAATTATTCCTTGATTTGGTATTGTAATAACTGGGAAACATCAAAATAGGATCTCCCAGAATAATTAGCCCTGAGCCCAAATACAAATGACCTCTAAAAGTCAATGAATTGGATTTATTTAGTAATCATAGTTAACCAGCTGTATGACCTTAACCAGAATAATGTGATGCAATGTCAGAGGTGTTTGAATAAATAGTAGCTTTTTCTTTACAGTTTCAAATACTGCAAGAGAAGTAAATGATGCAGTTAGGTCCTGCAGAGAAGTGGTTTGCAAGAAGACTATTAACTCTGGAGTAATACTGGATATCCACCATGAAAAATCTCAGCAAGCATTAACTAGTACACTCATCAAAGATTCTGTCTTCTCATGTATTATTTATTAAACCACAATTGTCCTTTAGTTTAACTCATTTGTTCAAACAAGATTTAGATTCCCAAAAAGTAGATCCAAGATTCACGTTGAAGGTAAGGAAAAGTGCTTCATGATATTTAGAAATATCTTTCTCTCAGTAAATTCCACTTAGCTTACACTGTAAATTACTTTTTTTCCCTTCAGCACTTCTGAATAATGTGCTTTGCACATTTCATGAAATCACAACATAGTCCCAATATATTTTTGCATGCATATTTTATGTTTCTAAATGTCTGCACAAGTTCCATGTAGTTTGTTCTCCCTTAGGCCATAAAAATACCATAATGCATAGCTGTTTAAATGTTTCTGTATATGCAGGTAAGCAAAACCAGCACGTGAAATCTTGCACATAGTATCTATATTAGCTTATGCCAACTGAATTTACAACTAAGTTTGCAGTCCTACACACAGTTATTTGACAGTATATCTCATAGGCCAGATTGGAACTTACTTCCATGTAAACATGCATAGGATAGCAATGCATACCTTGGGTACTAAGAAGAGTTATTTAACAGTAATCCCTCCAATATATACTTGTTTAGAATGTGCACTGCACTTAGAACAGGTGGGTTTTCCAATACCTTTAAAAGAGCAGATATAGAAAATAGAACATATCCAGTGCTGTGTGTGATGCAATAATTGCATGATTGAAGCTTAGACCAACAATTAGCTCCTTTAAACTCACTTTTTTCTTTGAATCATTTTATGGAGCTAAAGGGCACTGAGATTTTTGACGCAGAAAAGATTGAAAAGAATGTGATTTTTTTCTTTTGAAAGAGAGAGAATATCATCTATACAAACTTAACTACAATTGAACAATGAATAATTCCTTGTGGTTCCTAAAACTATGTATTGGTATCAAAATTATTTAATATGCTTTCAGATCCAGAAAAGCAAGAGATAGGGTTAAAGGCAAGATTGGAAAATATATCAGATAATATCTGATATAAATATCTCAGAAAAGCAATGGAAGGATGTAAATGTGCAAGGTCCAAAGCATTTTATGGGTGTACTAGAAAGGGTTATTTCTGTAAGATCATGTATCTGTGGTCCTTAATACCAGATAGACTGGAAAAAATGTTTAAGTTACTCAATGCGTTATGCATTATTGATATGAATTTGTAGATGTAGATTTGTAGATTCACATTTTTTTGAATTTATGTAATTAGGAGCATGGAAAAATACAGAATGTAAATTGACTTTGGACTCATTTATTATTAAGTAAGATAGGTAACTGGTGGCAACCATGAAAGAAAGATGATATCGAACATGTTAGTTTTAGTTCAGATTGTTTTAAAGGAAGAGAGAATGTTGGTACCACTTTACATTGGGGTGGGGAAGGGATTGTATAGGGATGCTGTCACACTCATGACTTGCTTGCAGGTCACTGTGTGAGCAGAATGCTTGACTAGATGAATTTTTGTTCTTATCCAGCATGGGTCTTCTTCCTCATTAACCCTGCAACACCTAAGCAATGCCACATCTGTTGGAACACATACTGTCAACTCAGCAGTTATGCTGTTGCTGCTTTCACACTGAGCTTCTCAGATCTGGCAAACAGAGACGGAGATCTAATTTACATAACTTGATTTAGCAATGTCGCCATCATTTGTGTTTGGTAATTTTTTCATGTGCTAAGTCACCATATTACTATATCCTGAAGGTTGCTATTTCTCTATTTATTTTATTACTCTCTCTCTCTCTCTCACACACACACACACACGCGCGCGCGCGCACAAACAATTATTTTATGTCACCCTTAAGAATAAAAAACCAGGAGTCAGGAACAATACTCTAGGGACTGGTTTCCCACCCAGACTGTGCTTCTAAGAAAAAACCAGCACCACCACCTATGAAAACTAAGCCACCTAATTGCTGCTGCATTAAAGGTTTGATGGCTTCCAGAATCTTGAGAATGATTTAGCTCCTTGATGCTGGCAAGAAGTAAGCTGATTGCTGCTTGTTTTCAGGCAAGCAGTTGGTAACATATTGCATGTTAGGTAACAGTTTTCTTCCAGCTCTTAGGTAACAGTTTTCTTCCCTCTACTACTAAGAACACCAACTTCATTGGAGATTTACAGAGGGATGAGTGCTCAAGTGGTAGGCATAATCATAATCATTCTCAGTTCTCAAGGAAACAGACATAAGCCAGATATTATTTATTTTTATGTAAAATAATGCAACAGGTAAAAGAAGCGCCTCTGTGTAGCAGTAGGGTACCATGAAGATAGTTGCTAGCAGTAGATGTTGGACCATTTTTTATAATAAAACTGGCCAGGCTCCAAGCAAGAATAATAAATGGTAAAGAATAACTGCAAAGGAAAGAGAATTTGCAAGATTATAAGTGAAAAGTCTATGCAGTGAATCATCTCTATTATATTGCCTTTTACTATATACTGTTGAGTTCAAACTATTTTAAAAGGACCCTCTAGTAATTTATTATGCATTTTTTCAATTGAATAGACTAATTGGATCCTGCTGAGTACAGTTACTATAGGGAATCCTGTAGGGAATTTGAGTCCATCCTATGGTGAAACTGCTCCAGTTAGAGATCCTGGAATCTAGTTGGTTTTGTTTATGGTTTTGGACAGAGATGGACAATTTGTGTTCTTCTAAATGGTTTGGCTACAACTCTCTCACCATTGTCTCTGCTGGATCAGTCCAGGTGTGAGCTGCAAGTCAAAGCATCTGAAGGGCAACAAATTACCTAACCTTTTTGTAGAGCATTCCATATAGTTTCAGAGCTTCCCCTGCTAAAAGGACAATGAGTATGAAAGGCATAGTCTGAACTACCAAGGCTCAGCAGATTCCAATCTATTGCTAACGCTTTGAGATCCACTAAAAATCACCAACTTCCAATAAGTGACTATTTAAGAAACTCAGCAGAATCTGAATGGAAACCCTGGTCAAGCTAAAGATATTTCTGGAACCGATTTGTCAGCCTGTTTGTATCCATACACTTTTTGGCACAGAAAGTCTTAATAGCACAATAGCAATAATGTTGGTTCATTTCCATGTGTAAGAAATCCCATTGTATGAAAATCCAACTTGGCCTAGTGTAGAATAATCCAGTAAGGTTAGAACAGCCAATACACTGAGATAGTTATTGGACTGAAGCTGGTTATGTACAACAACTGGGTCCAGTTTTGTGCTTTTTAGAAACATTTTCATGTTTCTAAATGCAGAGTAGATGTTTAGATGATTGCTTATTCAGGGAAAAATGAAACCCTTGGTATATAACTGTACCCTCCAGGGCATCCAAAGTGAATGGAGAAAGACCTTGTTGAAGAAATTTCCTTGTATCTACCAGCTTACCATGAAGCATGATGCTTTTGAACAAAACACATTCATTTAGGAGCCAAATTCTGATAATACTTTACTAGGTCACAGCTTGCTCTTGTGTTTGCTATGGAAAGTTCCTTCTCCAGAGTAGGCAGAAAAGGCATTTCCAAGTGACTCTGACCTATCCTATGGCACCCTAGGCAATGTCAGGAGGCCATACGATTGTGCTGTAATTTGATATAAATAAATTCATAATTTAAAATTATAGGAATTCTGACATATTTCAATTATTATATTTTGATAGATATTGTTTTCATTGATGCTGGCAAAATCACTTTAGTAAGTTTAATGTTTTTAAGTTTTACCTGGAAAGTTGTAATGTTTGGATAACCCTCTACCTGTGTGAAATAAGAAATGATATATTTTCAGGAGATATTTTAAGATAAGGAAAAATAATAAGATTTACTGTTAACAGGCCAGAAATAATACTGTGTTTTTTTCAGAAAAGCTGAATGGCTTGATTTCATATACCATATTTCCCTGAAAATAAGACCTAAATGTAAAATAAGCCCTAGCATGATTTTTCAGGATGTTTGTAATATAAGCGCTACCCCCAAAAATAAACCCCGGTTAAGATTGTCAGCCAGACAGACACATTTAGTATGTCCGTTGCAACACCCAATGGATATATTCAATTACAAAATAGTAATATTAATATATATTAATATATCTAATATTGTTGACATTAATATTTAAAATAAATTTGTAAATACCCAAGTGGGCACTTTGAACAAGAGGGAAACGCCTATGTAAACATTATTGCCAAATGACCAGTCGGAGTACAGACACAACGCATGTGTGCACTTGACAATGAATGGACGTGTTTCATAATTCAATATTTGTGTGTTGTAACGGATGTACTTAATGCACTTGTGTGTTGCCATTCCTGTCTCATAAGTCTTCAATTAACACTTGATTTAATGGTAGATTTAAAGGATATAATATTTTGACTCCTAGACAAGATGAGTGCAAAAGAAAAGCTATTCCATCAAGTACAAGAAAGGAATTGTGGAAGAGTCTTGGGGCAAGAAACTTATGGCTTTCCCTGTCTTATTTTCAGGGAAACACAGTATATTCTATTCAAAACAGTATATAGTTGAAGTGGTTTACTGCTATTATTAAAATTATCAAAGTCTGCTATTTAATAAAACCAATAAAATTTTGAACAAGTCAAATATCCAAATAAGCAGAGAGAAGTACCCAGCTCAACTGACCTCAAGTCTCAATGAATTTTTTGAAAGCCATCTGAAAATGCTATTTAACTCTGTCAGTTGCTCTCATCAGCTGTCTATTCCAGTTTGCAACAAGGACCTTGACAGGGCTGCCTCTATCATCCCCTGAAGTATCTCTAATATTTGGATTCCATTTGGATCTTCAAGTGTTTAATGCTGGGTTATTCTAATAGGTCCTATTCTGTCAATTGGTTCCTCAGTTTTGAGCTAACCTTGAATGGAATCTAACCTCAATAGCATTAGAACAGTGGCCAGATGGGGGACTACCTGAGCATCGGGAGCATCATTCCAGCTATGAGCAGGCCACATGAAGCTCCTGCTATATCACAAGCCCTCCCAGTCAGTGGTTATCCTTTCACAAATCAGTATAATTTGGTTAGAAAGCAGGAATTGTACAGCAAGTGCTGGTAGGGAGGATTTTCATGGTGACTGGGACTCATTCTGCAAAGGTACTGAGCCCAACTCACAATGGATTAACATTCTGATCTCCCATTCACTGTTCTCCTCCAGCACTAGCTAAAAATAGACATCAGAAAGATTTAGAATATTTGTTCATATAAGTGAGATGACATCTGTATCAGACATTAAACCTAACAGATGATGAGGGTGATGGTGATGGAGATGATGATGATGATTATTATCATTCCTATACTGCCCATAGCTGAAGCTATCTGGGTGGTTTACAACAATAAAATAGATAAAAACTTATCATGAATTAATGTTATTTAAAATAGCATAAAACATTTAAGCAAAAAAAGACAATCAAAAAGACAATTTAAAAAGAGATAACTAAAAAGACCAGGTCAAAAGTAAAAGACACCTGGCTAATTGTGTCAAGCCATGAATGACCAGGGAGGTCTTTAAAGGTCTGATACCAAACAATGGCAAATTTGGTGCCAGGTGGGCCACGGCAGATTACTGCAACATCTCTATAAAACAGGCTAATTAATTATTCTATCTTGGAATCAAGAAAGTACAGTGGTGCCTCATACTTCCAATTTAATTTGTTTCAGGAGGCCATTCGAACTCTGAATCATTCAAAATTAGTCATTCAAACTATGGGGCACCACTGTATTAATATAGTGTTGCTTCATCCCCTTCTCCCATGAATTGAAACTGTTTTGCAATGGAATACCCCTGATCTTAAATAGAAATCTTATCTACTTACTGTTCACAGTGAGTTCAGCCATCAAAACACCAGTTCTTTGTTCAATTCGTTGTTTCCGTTTTGCACATGTCTTAAAGTAGTAATGAAAATAGTTTGCTTGAGAATAATGTTAAGCCGAATGGTACACATTGTTTTAGCCATACAAAGGGAACATATGCTGACTATTTTTTCCTATAGGACTACCATAAAAATGGAAACTTTCTCACATTTACCTTTTTCAGTTAATAGACTCTGTATGAGTCTGGGGAAACTACTGAGTGGGAGAAAAATAGGATCCTAACATCTTAAGTGTATTTAATCAGATGTACGAGTAAGTCCCGCTATCTTCCATGAAACTTACTGCCAGTTATACATGTAGAACTTGCAGTCTAAATCTAAAAATGCTAAGGGTGTATGCTGATATTTCTTTTTTGGAGCAGAAGAGCAAAGGATATATCTTCAAAGCAGGGTTTAGACACACGGAGGTTTATGCATTGTGATAGGAAAAGGATCCATTTTCCATTGTTATTCATTAACAAGTTTCCAGCTCCAAATTCTCCCATGCTTCTAATGCAAAAACATGTTTCCACCTATCAGTTCACCAACAGTTTACTCAGCAGTGTTCGCACTAGGCAAGATTTTGATTTTCATTATTGGTTCACTCAAGTAGGCTTTAAAACCAATTTTAAGCCTCTCAACACATCACATATCAAACATACATGTTTTATCTATCACTAGCATCATATATCTTTTAGAATCAAGGAAAAACAGGTGCTTCAGTGGCCCTGAAGTGATATACATGTGCTCATAAATTACAGCTAGATAGCTATACTTGAAGAGTGAGAACAGGGGGCCTTCCAGATGTTTGACTGCAACTCCCATCAGCTCCAGCCAGCATATCCCAGAAGGATACATGTTCTCCATTGCTGAGGGTCACAATGGGCGTATAGAGCAGAAATGTGCATATACAGCTATTATAATAACCTTCCATGTAGAAATTTTATGCCTCAGCCTACTATCGAATTCAGACACATTTGATCAATTATTTCTGCACACAGTGTAGCATAGCTGCATGCATTCCTCTTGCTCCCACTAGTGACCAAAACCATATTTTTCTGCTTTCCATTTCTTTATTTTTCTCTTATCCTTCCCTTAAGACAGAGGTGGGGAAAATGTGGCCTTCCAGATTGTTGGAATGCCACTCCTACCATCCATCACCACTTGCTGTGACATTTGAAAGGTCACCAGATCCCCCTTCCTGTTCTAAGAAATCAGGACAGCACATACACAATTACAGACTCCTAAGAAATTGATTAGGTGGGAAGAATGACCAGCCCATGGAATCCCTCCCTATCTGTACTTGTGCCTGGCCAGAGTGTTTCAGTCTGTCCAGCCACCTATAGGATTTAGATCCCTTTAGATACAAATCATAGAAAAAAATGAGGAATACCATCAAATAAAGCTGTTTATTATTGATCCAATCTCCATATATGCATTTTAATTGGCCCTCAGGAATATGAATCCAATATTTGCAGTCTTGCTTAATTGTTTATTGCTATACAAAGAACTTACCACAGGGCATGAGAACTTCTCACTGTCGCAGACATGGGTCTCACAGTGCAGCCACACCTTGGAAAGCTTGGGGATATTCTGGAACCGGAATGCATTAAACTGGAAGGTGGCTCGGCTATCTTTGCCATTTTCATGTACCAAGATAGAATTGTCTGTTGCACACCTGAGCAATGTGATAAGTGGAAGTATTAGAATGAGAAGAAGCAGAAGTCATTCCCTCTTTTGCTCTTTCTAGAACTACAATTACATTCATCCTGGCTGCTGTAGGTTTCCAAGAGCAGACCTATGGTGCACAACTTAAATCTGAATGACAGATTTAGTTTTTTAATGAGAGATAGCATAAAATGAACAGTGTGAAATATCCTGCTCTGACTTTCTGCCTGATGAAATCAGCAATGTTGTGGAGTCTAAAAAACCACAATTAACTGTCTTGTGGTGCTGGCGTAACACTTTCTCAAACCACAGCACACTCAAAAACCAGTCACATATGCAGATATTGCGTTCATGTCAGTATACTCTAATATTAATATTAGAACAGTTCTTTGGGTGACAATACATTCAGCCAAAAGATGCTGTGATTCATTTCCAGGCAGCCTGTGCATTTGAAGATATGCATGTCCATTGGGGTTCCATCTCCTATGAATAATACTCATCGACAGACATTCACAAAGTTACCTACCCCTTCGAGATCAGAGGCCACTGAATTTGATAGAAATATTCTGATGAGGGAGTTGCCCAACAGTTGGTCAGCACTACTTTAAATCTGGGAGAGACAGAGCAGTGGTCAAGAGTGAGGTTTTCTGTGACAATTGTCCACGAGGATTGATACATGTAAAAGTCATACCTGCTACTTAAACCCTTTGCTTCTACTCCAGCAAATACATCAGAACCAATTTCTGAAGTTTCAACTGTGAAGGGGGCTTCCTTCTTGCTTGAAAACTTGGCATTCTAAGATAGAAAATGTTGCAATTGGTTAATAAAGTTGCACAGATCCAGCCCAAAACATTTTTCTAACTAAGTTGGAACAACATACAGGGCCCTCACACCCAAACAGGGTAACTCACATTCAAGGCCAGTCAAGTGATTATTTAGGGCACAATTCTATGACCATCTGACCTCATAATAAGTCATCCCTCATCCATGACTTGATTGTGGATGAGTGGGCCGACCTGGCCTGCATAACCGAGACCTGGGCGGGTGAGGAGGGGGATGTGTCCCTCTTGCAACTGTGCCCGCCTGGGTATCTGGTCGAGCACCGACCACGTCTTGAGGTGAGGGGGGTCACTTTGGTTTACCAAGCTTCCATCTCCCTCACGGGACTTTCTGTTCTCTCGAGACTGGGTCTAGAGTGCCTCTACTTGGTGTTGGGTGACTGAGACAGATTGGGGATTCTGCTGGTGTACCGTGCACCCTTCTGCCCAACAGTCTCCCTGCCTGAGCTGATGGAGATCGTCTCAGACCTAGTGTTGAAGACCCCCAGGATGTTGGTCCTGGGGGACTTCAATCTCCATGCCGAGACGGATCTGACCGGGGTGGCTCAGGACTTCATGGCCTCCATGATGGCCATGGGGCTGTCTCAACATGTTACTGGCCCAACCCATGAACGTGGACACACTCTGGACCTGGTTTTCTCGACGGGACAGGAAGAGGGTGATCTGAGGGTGAGGAATTTAGGTCTGACTCCCCTGTCATGGTCAGATCACTTCCTCGTGAGGTTTAAGCTCGAGAGTGGCCTTTTCATCTGTAAGGGTGCGGATCCCATTGTGCTGGTCTGCCCCTGGAGCCAGGTGGATCCGGATGGTTTCCTGAAGGCCCTGGGGGACTTTCCGGTTGACAAGGCTGGTGCTCCTGTCGAAGCTCTGGTCGAACTGTGGAATGGGGAAATGACCAGGGCTATTGACACAATCGCTCCTAAGCATCCTCTCCCACCGGGCAGAGTCCATTCATCCCCTTGGTACACACCTGAATTACGGACGATGAAGAGGGTTGGGAGACGGCTAGAGCGTAGGTGGAAGAAATCATGGGATGAATCTGACCGAACACACTTAAGAGCCCATTATCGGGCCTATGCTGTGGCGGTGAGGGCGGCGAAAAAGAAATTTTTCTCCGTGTCCATTGACTCCTCACAATGCTGTACGGCAGAGCTTTTTCAGGTGGTACAAGGGCTGGTTCACCCAGGTCCTAAGAAAGACCTGGTACCACCCTCGATAGCCTGCTGTGACGACTTTGCCAAGCATTTCTGGGAGAAATTTGCTCAGATTCGTCACGAGCTGGACTCCACTAGTGACTCAGAGCCTTCAGGGGAGGGACCAATGTTGCCGTCTGGTCCACAATTGATGGATGAATTTCAGTTATTGCGGCCTGATGATGTGGACAAGGTGCTTGGACAAGTACATTCCACCACCTGCTTATTGGACCCTTGCCCATCTTGGCTACTCAAGACAGCCTAGGACGGGATAGGGCCCTGGATCCTGGAGGTTGTCAATGCCTCTCTAAGGGATGGCCAGGTACCTGCCCCTTTAAAAGAGTCAGTAGTCCAGCCTGTCCCTGGATCCAGAAGTGGCCACCAATTATAGACCGGTGGCCAACATCCCGTTTCTGGGCAAGGTGTTAGAGTGGGTGGTGGTGGAACAACTCCAAGCACTCTTGGAGGAAACTGATTATCTGGACCCATTTCAGTCCGGCTTCACACCCAGGTATAGTACTGAATCTGCCTTGGTCGCCCTGTATGATGACCTGTTCAGGGAGAAAGACGGGGAGTGTGTCCCTGTTGGTTCTCCTGGACCTCTCAGCAGCTTTCGATACCATCGACCATGGTATCCTTCTGGATAGGCTAGCGGGATTGGGAGTTGGGGGCACTACTTTGCAGTGGTTCCACTCCTATCTCAATGGCCGATTCTAGAAGGTGGTGTTGGGGGACTATAGCTCTGCGCCATGGCAGCTATGCCATGGAGTACCGCAGGGTTCCATCTTGTCCCCCATGCTATTTAACATCTACATGAAGCCGCTGGGAGAGGTCATTAGGAGGTGTGGGCTGTGGAATCATCAGTACGCTGATGATACCCAGCTCTACCTCTTGTGCTCTACCAGTCCAGGTGAGGCAGTGGCTGTACTGAACCAGTGCCTGGCTGAGGTAATGGGCTGGATGAGGGCCAATAAACTGAAGCTCAATCCAAACAAGACGGAGGTCCTGTTGGTTGGTGGATCGGGCTCTGGGATAGGGGACTTTGACCTTGTCCTGAATGGGGTTGCACTCCCTCTTAAGGACAGGGTCCTCAGCTTGGGAGTGCTCCTCGACCCAGAGCTATCGTTGGAAGCTCAAGTGACAGCGGTGGCGAGGAGCGCTTTCCTTCAGCTTCGGCTGATCCATCAGCTGCATCCCTACCTGGAGAACGACAGCCTGGCATCAGTGACACATGCATTGGTCACTTCCCAATTAGACTTCTGTAACATGCTCTACATGGGGCTGCCAGGCTGCTGACAGGGACTGGGTGTTGTTCGCATATAACCCCCAGTCCTCCATCAGCTCCACTGGCTCCCCATTGAAGTCTGGGCCCAATTCAAGGTGTTGGTTATCACCTACAAAGCCCTGAACGGCTTAGGCCCTGGTTACCTAAAGAAGCACCTACGTCCATATATGACCTCCCACCCCCTGAGATCGGCAGCAGAGGCCCTCCTCCGGGAACCCTCCATGAAGGACATTCGGAGGGTGAGTACTCGGAGGAGTGCTTTCTCTGTGGTGGCGCCCAACCTATGGAATGCACTCCCCAGAGAGGTCCACCTGCTGCCGTCGTTATTTGTTTTTTGGCGCCAGGTCAAGACCTTTTTATTTAAACGCTATTTTAATTGTTAATGGTTTATTTGACCAGGCTGGATCCACTATTTTATTTTATTTTATTTTATTTTATTATTTTATTTTATTTTATCTTTTGTATTTATTTATGTATGATTTTTTTGTATTTTATATGCAATTTTAATTATTGTAAGCTGCCCCAAGGCTCATGCGATGGGGCGGCATATAAGTTGTTTAAATAAATAAATAAATAAATAAATAAATAAATAAATAAATACAATCATCTGGAAGATCATAAAATTGTGGACCTTGGCGCTTGGTTTCAGCTGGTGCAGAAGGGAGTGACCTATCCCAAATCACAACTGGCCTTGGAGGAGTGAAAAGGGTAGACCGGTTGGAGCGGTGAGAAGAGCAGCCTGAGCCTGTGGAGTTGTGCCAATTCCATTGGCACATGAGCCTCTTACCTTCTGCTTCCACAGCACTAAATCAAAATGGCTGAAAGTGGCCATCTGGATGAAATGCAGGGCGTGCAGTGCAGTGGCAACTACCCCTGCCACACCTCAAGCCTTCTGCTGGGTGCTCACAAGTCTGCAAGTTTGGAGGCAAATGGCATCTGCTCAAGGGCAAGAGGGTGAGATCCTGCTTTCCTTTCATAATGTCCAAATCATCTGCCTGAGGTGAACCCAACATTCTTCCTAATGGGAGGGCCAACACTAGTCAGAAATAATTAAGTCATTCCACCTGATGGTTCTCTATGTTCAGCATTTTTATGGGTGAGCATATCTTTATTAATTTTATAGAATTATAGAAGCTTGCATAATTCTCAGAATGAACAGCTATGCAATATGTAACTGTCTTTTCTTCAGACCCACATCTTATTTCCTCCCCACCCACAAACAATTTTTATATTTTTTCTTTAAGAAATAAAAAGAAAAAATAGAAATAGTAAAGAAAATGTAGAAAATATAGTGAAGAATCACCAAGGGATCTCAGATAGAAGCTACACAGAACATCAAGTGCCAAAAACAAAACTAAACAAAAAAATCATTGTAAGTCAGTAATCATTATCCAGTCACATTTTTAAAGGGCTTAGTTAAAATTCACTGAGATTTCTACTAAATTGCAGATCTTCATCAAAGCCTTAATACAAACATCAATCTCCAACACTCTCCCCCAAAATTTCCTTTCCTTTACACTTATCATTAATTTCACTGGTTATCTTTTTACATAATTAGTTGGTCTTACCATTACTATGTAACCATGACCCTAACCCTAACCCCAAGCCACAGATGCAAGTTGAATGAACACTTCACAACAGATCACAACATTGTCTTGGGTGTCACAGGATTATTCAGAGCTCCAGCTCCCAAGTCCTGTGACCTCGGAACTGGAACTCTGAAAGTTGAGCCCGTGCTCCACACCCCTTAGGACTGGCATGGAAAGAACCATGCTGTCCACCTCTCAGATGTTGCAGCTGGATGCCAACGGGCCATGCTGAAGGAATCATGAGAGAAGGAAGCTGGGCTGATGGCAATCCCCATTGATTTATTGCTTATATTTATATCCTGCCTTTTTTCCTTCCAAGGAACTCAAGGCGGCTAACATAATTCTCCTCCTCCTCTCACTCTTATCCTCACGATAACACCCCTGTGAAGATAGATTGGGCCTAGATTTTGTGTCTGGCCCAAAGTCACCAGTGAGCTCCAGGGCTGAGTGGCGACTAGAACCCAGATCACCTGAGTCCCTGCCTGCATCACTACACCATCCTCTCTTTGTGCATAATCTTCTTTGTGCATAATCCTCTTTGTAAACAATCCATAGCAGCCAGCATCCTCATGTAGTCATCCTTCTGGCTGCCAGCCCAGGCCTCTCCTGTTTATCAAGGATGATGCAGCATGCTAGCTGCAGCACACTATGAGATACAATTTGTATTGGTGACCCAGTGTCCATGCCTCCTTCCCCTCCCCAGTGCCAAAAGTGGCTGTCTAGGTGAAATGCAAGGTGCAAAATTGCTGCTGCCATCACTCACTTTGTGTACTATGGGCTTGCACATATCTGCAGTGAAGGATATTGGATTCTTTCCCAATAGTCCTTTGATTGAGAGGTATTGAAACAAGCAATGGAAGCACTGATGCAGCATAGTTTCAGTGACACCGAATTACTGTGGAGTCATGGGAAAACATTGGTTTCCTGACCCCCCCCCCACCGCCCCCCAGAAGAGAATCTTGATGTCTGGCTTCTGCAGTTGTTCATGAAGTTGTAAAATCTAGGTCATTCTCTGTCTGGAATTTGATGGGGTGGGAAAAGAGATTTGGGGTTGATCTGTGATCAAGCTACGTGTGCTGACATGTACCAGATTCTGAAAGCAGGTAGAACTTTCCATTAAAAGACTTCTGCTACGGAACAAACATGAGAAGCCAAATACAAAGCAGAAGCAAGATCCCAAGGGGACATTAAGTGTTTTCTGTATTCAGAGGACTGCTAGGTAAATTTCAGAGGGAATGAAAGGTACTCTATGTGTAGAGATCTAAAAGAAAAGGTACACACTGCCCTTTGTCCCTGGCTTTCAGGAGTTTGGAATGGCTTCTTGCACAGCAGTAATTCAGAATGCTGAAGTGTGACACCGGCATTGCATCACTCTTTAAAAATGCAAGTATATAAAGATAATAAAATATATGAAGAAGATGTACTCTGCATAAAACATTGTTGGGTGGCTATACAGTAATAATACTCACTTCAGTTAAACTGTCAGGGAATTAAGGAAGAGACTCTGTACCAGATTCATTTTCATTTGTCCCGCTACAAATGTTGAATTACCATAATTCAGATCAATGGAGTGACTATACTATTTTATAATATTGTGCCTATTTATGAAAGCAGTTGTCATGCTGCAGGGTAGATGCTCATAACATGTGCTGAGAGTCTGATAAAAGGAAACTCTTAAAATCTGTCATGTTCCAGATTTCATATTTAGCTTACAGTGCAAACATTTCAGAGGAATGAATCCATACATGCCAATCATCAGTTAGTGCCTGCAACATTAGGGATGACCTGTGTGAGTGAAACTGCTGTCACAACAAATTGTACAGAGCTTTGCCACATTCTACCACAAACACAACATGTAGGTGCCCTTCTATAAATGGGTGTTCCCCTTTCTTGGATCCAGAAGACAGTAGAGAAGATTATCATTGTTTATCTCTGCCAGCCCCTGTGGCACCTCTTGTGTTCTCTGGAAGGTCCCATTTACAGTAGATTTTTAGGGTGGCAGAGGACTATATGGAAAAGTGGGAGCCAAACCCCAAGAGTACTCATCAGCAGAACTGTGCTTTTGGAACAGTTGATCCAATGCAATACTTTTGAATGAAAACTATTTAGAATATTGGCTGATAGTTATCAAAGGGTAAGTTATCAAATGATGAAATATTACATACACCAGCCTTTATGCACCTATTAGAAATTTGAGAATGTAAGAGCACCTTCATTTTGACAATGTACAATGTATTGAGTAGAATATTAAGAGTGGAATCCTATATGAATTATTGCCACCCTATGAATGCAATCAATGCTGGCTGGAAGGAGAAAAGAATAGCCTCTGGGTTCGTTCTGCCCTGTACTTTGGCTGCCTAAATGTCATGCCTGAGAGCTTGAGGGAGGGAAGCTGAGGCACCACCATGATACTTTGTAGCATGGCAGTGCCTGTCTTTTTTCCTCCCTGCCGCCTGAACTGCCCCTTAATCACCATCACAGGGTGTGGTTCTTTCTGTGCCAGATACATGGTGGTGGTGGTGGTGGAACTGTCAGCTTAGGAACCCAGCTACAACATCAGAGAACTATTCTGACTTTGTAACTGGGTCTTCAAAGATGCTATGTCAATGTAGGCACTGTCCAGTGGCCCTGGAATGGCAATGGGAATTTCTTTTACATTTGGTAAATAAAGGCAGCCACCCATGGACATTTTCAGGCTGTTTTCAGACAGCTTTTTTCCATCTCACCACTGCGAAATCTACAAGAAAATCTCTGTGTGCGCACTACTTACAGAGTAGAAGTTGAGGGACAATTGGCTTTCAAAGGAACCGGAGCTGCCATTCTTCACATGCACCGTTGCCACCCTAAAAGAGGCAGAAAAAGTCACATGACTGAATCATACACTATTGATAGCAGAGCGAGGTGTATGCTAGACAATGAAGCTCCAATGGGTGGAGGCAGAGTTACCTTTGGTCAAAGGCAGCATGGTTCACCAGATAGTTTGCATGGTACGTGCATGTGAAGGAGTAGTTCACGGGCTGGTTCTTCACAATCACAGAACTGTCATTGGAGACGATGAAGTTATAGAAATGATAGAAGGGGCTTTTAAACTGCAACAGTGGAAAGACAGAGAGGTAGGTTTCTACACAGCAGAACCAATTTGGGTTTTAAGCTTTCATATGAAGGATTCAGTTCCTCAAATTTATGGACAGTAGATTGTGCACATGACCTTGAAGGAACAAGACATGCCCAACCTGGTCCATGTGATGAACTAGACATAGGTTCATGTCCAATAATCTTAGAATCATGGAGTGGTAGAGTCAGAAGGGGCCATAAAGGCCATCAGGTCCAACCCCCCACTGTTGCAGGACACCAATTTACACCATCCCATTCAAATAACGGTCCAGTTTTGCCTTGAATGTCTCTATTGTGGGAGAGCCCACCACCTCTCTAGGCAACTTGTTGCACTGTTGTATTGCTCTGACAGTTTGGAAACTTTTCCTGATATCTAGCCTGAATCTGGGTTGTCACAAATTGAACTGGGCACAATCCTATGAATGTTTAGAGAGAAAAAGTCCTATAACTTCCACAATTTCCTAGTTTTGCTCAAAATATTATGTGTTTGGGCTGGTTCATAGCCTTACTGGGCTTAGGATCCTCTTTGAATGGTGGAGCGTTGAGCATGTGCTGCCTTCTGCTTCGGGGGAAGAAATGTGCAAACTAAGCACCTGCTTATGTGGACCACTATATGCAGTGTTTATCTCACATGCTATTTTCGGTGTATGATGCAAGAAATGTCCACATGCAAAGAGGATCTCTGGTCTAATATGCACTCCAGGTTCTGGAGGTCCCTGGGCCAGATTCTTTCCACAGGCTGCTCTGGCCTGGACCCACTCCTGCTCACCACTGTCCATGTTTCCCACTGGATTACAGTTTCTCTTTAGGCCCAGCCTGTGCCACTGCCAGGTAGAGAAGGCAAGGGCCATGGGACTGAGTTGCCTGTGCATTAAATAAATTAGTGATATTAAATATCATCATTGTGATCTAGACTCACTCAGCAACTATAAAATACTTGTGAAGCATAGTGGATTTTTTAAAGCCTCAGTACCTATCAGCTGTGTAGATGAAGAGATGTATAAAATATGAAAATATACCCCCAAACCCTGTTTAGGTCTTCTGCAAAGGTATAAGGAGGAGCAAAACTGTATGCTTGATCCCATTCTCTTGACATACATGCTTTCAGTAAAATACCTGCAATGGGGGTGCCTATTTTCCTTTGCATGTGTAAGCATTCCACATACCTGGGACCTCTACTTGTGTGCATCTTTTCCAATGGTATAGAATGTCTAAGTGTGTATAGCTGCCCCCCTTACAACCTTGAGCTGGATCTATTGATGAAAGGCTCTGTATGTTTCCACCAATTCATGGGCATCTCCTGTCCCCCAACCTGCAGCTCACCCCTTTAGCAGGGCCTCTTCCTGACCTACTGTTTAGCTGGGCACCAGAGGGGCTTCCATGTGAAGGAGGAGCTGGGGAACTTCACTTCTGTTAGTGCATCTGAAACCACATAAATCTGGATCCAACACTGTATGGTGAAGTAGGTACAGAACTTGTAAAGCTGAACAAACATTTTACCAGAGAGCTATTCATTATAATAGGTTTGCTGACTAAGTATGGAGTGATTAGGTTTGTGTAGCCTTTACACAACCAGTAATATGTTCTTAGAATTGAGATAAAGGAGCATGTAGGTTGGCTGGCTCTCAAAAGCAAAACACTCCTTTACCCCGAAAGAAGTAGACCTTTGTTAGGATGCTCCTGCAACCCACTGACTGAGTCAAGGACAAACATACCCAAAGAAAGCTGCAAGCCTATTTATGTTAGGGAAGCACTCCTGGCTGCACTTTCAGGTCAGAATAGGGCTGTACTGCCCCAGTGATGTATATTCGATCTCTAACTTAAATGCCAATGAAGCAATATTGAAAAGTTACTAAATTATAAAAAGTGGTGGGGCCATGGTTTTTCAACTTAAAGTGTGATACAGACTTATGGAAGATGCTAAGCCATTTTGGTTCAGACATATATTATACATGATTATCATAAAACCTAGAGAAAAAAATGTTTATATTCTGTTCACTTACTTCTGATTGAGTTCCACAGTAAGATTTATTTTTTGGTGACAAATCTGGAATTGTAAACTGGTAATACCCCGAATCATGAACTCCATTGTAGCAAATCCCGCCGAGAGCCAGTTGATTAACTTCCCATCCATAAGGACATTCAGGAATTTTTGCAATTATGGTTTTAGGATAACAATACACCAAAATTACATCTAGAAGTAAAAGAAAGAATGGACAGCTACAGCATAGTTCTGATTATATGACTAAGAAATGCACCTCCCATCTCTTGCCATTGAGGATGTTTAGATGATCTCTAGAGTCAGACCAGTGCCAGCCTGAACATTCAGTGCCTCACCATGGATTATAGTGTTGGGGGAAGTTTGTTGGAGAAGTTGGATTATGTGAGAGTTCATTAGCCATTGTGAAAGCTGCTGGTTGGGTTTGCGTGACACACAACCCACAGTCAGAATTAGAATAATTGGGATGGCACCTGAATATTGAGGATGGTGTGTGGGGGTACTGCAGCTTGTTATGGCTTAAATAAGCCATGAGAAGTGTGGAGTATCCTGGGAACCCAGTCAATATTTCATATGTGGTGGTTTAGCCTCATTTCCAAAAGTCTAAGTTCTAGGGCTGAATTCTGCTGAGTTTGAGTGACAACAAACCCCAGTATAGGATGCTGTAGGATACTGCAATTAATACCACAGCAGTGTTCAGATTGAATTCAGCAGATGGTTTGGGGAAGGGCAGCAGGCCGCAACTACAGGTCCTTTAGAACATCTGCAGGAGTACAAATGCTATGCATATATTTGCATATATGGAAGCTTTCTGCAAAAATACAAGAGTGCTTTCAAAATGTATTCAGCTTTTCAGCTAGTGAGCCCTTTTGGAAAGTAACTGTTTCCTATTAATAGGATCTCTTTCCAGCTTCTTTCTTTTGTTCTGACTTTCATCATAGCCTATTATTTTGCAGTTTTTTAAGGTAGAACTTGAGCTGCTTTTGAGCAACAATTTTTGGTGGGAAGGTGGCCATAGCATCATTTTTAACATAATTATTTCAATGGAGAGACAGCATGTCAGTCAAATTGATAAATGATATGTAATGCAAGCATCATCTGAAAAAAGGGTAATGAAACATGTGATACAATGCATTCTGCCTTTTGAAATCATTTCCCTGCTTCTCCCCTTCCACACACACACACACACACACACACACACACATTCCACCAAATACAAATGTATCTGTGTATTCAAATAGAAGGCAATACCTGTATGACTTCTCACTAACCATATTTCAAACCAGTGTTTAAACAGTGCAATTTTGTTTTATGTATCATGTAACTGCTAAATTATGAAAGGGACCTTCATGCAGGGTTTGAAACCATATGGGAAGTCTATGCTATTGGAACAGACTTCAGAACTTTCTCTAAATGGGGGAAGCCTAGAAAGGAAACATGAAGGACACAGTGGGCCCCCATGCATGGACCTGTTCCCTCTTTCCCATGATTAGCAATTGTCTGATGTACAAAGTCTGAATAAAACTAGTAAAATCAGCAACTCTAACCATTCCTTTCTCTGGCAAAATGGTAATTAGATCTAAACTAATTGGATCTAAACTCATTATCATTACTGGTCAGTCATAATTTTACACATATTGTAATATATGTCAAATGCTGCTGAGCAGCGGAGGTTCCAGTATTTCCTATAATCTCCACATTATATTTCCAATGAAGCCAAAAACAATCGATACATTAATTGATCTTCTTGTTGGCCTGTAGGTTCAAGTATCTGGATCCAAACCTAGATGCCATGATTCAACCTTTGGTGAAAGTAGCCTCTTGGTGAGAAGTCTAATGGGGAGTGAGCCAAATCTGAGGAAAAATCCAAGGGAACCTTAACATAACAGCAATCTTCCTTAGTCATACTCTGACAATCAACATGGACAGAGGAGATGTTTCAGATTCGGGAGACCTTAACTGACAATTTCCTCTGGTATTTTATGATCTAGACTGTTTCTCATAAAAGTTTGTGCTACAAAAACTTTTAAGGTGTCACAAGGCTCCTTATTATGTCTGTTTGATCTTGAGCTCACTGGCAGGACTTGGGCTAATCAGTTTCGCAGACTTAATTCCATTATGTAAAATATGGAACAATATTTCCTGTTTCACAGTGACACTTCAAAGGGAAAAGAAACAGTACTCTCTGTGCATTGGATGCTAAATCATTATCACCATCAAATTCACCATCACCTCCTCCTGCAAACTATAGACTGAGACTATGGAAAGTCAAGCACTCCTGAGGCATGAGAAATCCACTGATTTTGGTAAGAAAGAATTAAGAATGTAAAATCAGCTGAACTTGAACTAGTTCATGTCTCCGTTGAAGTAACATCCATTTATATTTTTCAATATCTCTGGTTGTCTAGAGGTGCTTTGTAAAAATCTTCTATAGTTAAGATTCCACATGCATAGTTTCATAAACAATGTGTGTTGAATATTTCTACACAAGACCTATGTTTTCTTGCTAAATAATATGAGGTACTTTGAAGGTTATTTTACTGCAATTTCATATTAATTGAAAATAGAAAAAGTTTATTAAAATGAAATTATTTTACCTGCTTTATTTGGGTTGCAAGGGACTGCAATGCCTCTAGCTAAGATAATCCAGAGAAGAAATGCCACCATCATCATTTCTCCCAAGGATATATAAATACTAATGGAAATACTACTTTGTTTTCTTCAAAATGTTGCCAAAGCTTGAGAAGGATTCGCAGACTTTGTTGCATCAAACCTGTTTAAGGTGCCTGAAAATAGCCAGCAAAAAATGATGCGCGGAGTCTTCCACTCATAATGAAGTTAAGCATTGTTAAGTATACCTTTTAAGCCTAGTTCCAAATACACAATGGAATTAATTAATTTTTATTTTCAACTTTCTTCACTTTTGTCTAAGAACAAATCTGTATCATAAGTGGAACAAAAAGCTTTACTTCATAAAAACCATCTTGCAGATTTTTTTAAGAATAAGTAGTAAATGAGATTAAAAAGGTGTAGAAGGAACAGAAATGTAAGAGCTGTGGTGGGAAGAAGAGGGGTTCTAAGGAAGTTTAGGAAATGGTTACAGGTTGGAAAGGGAACAGAACTGGTTGGAAGGAGGAAGAAAATCATGATTATAAATATCTTGTTCATTCATTGAATCAAATTGCAATTTCAATAGTTAACTAAATTATATTTGTTTTAAAAAATCTTGTATCAATATATTCTTTATACCAGAGTGAGTATTAATCTTGAAAATAACATTTATAATTTAAAAATTAACAGCTGTAGCATTCACATGAATCATCAGGTCTCTTGTTAAAGAACCACTCACAAGATACTAGGTATAACACTATTAATTTCATACTGGAAGTTTTAGATCAGTGATTTCATACAAACCATTCATGGCATAGTAAATCTTACTTTTAACATTATCATTTTATATTTTAGTAATGCTGCTTATATGCATCAAAGGTTTTCAGTCTATATAATAATTCTTTTTGTTAAAAAATGTATTTCTGAATGTATATTTCATTGGTTATATATTCCTATTTAAATCATGCACTGAAGTTCAAGAAGATTTTTTAAAGCGCATCATACATACAGCACAGGAACAAGGCTGCAGATCACGGCATTCATTCTCCTATTCAGAATGAAAAAGTGTGTATCTGCTTTCTCCAAGAACCCTTTTCAAATAGAACCAGAGGCTATTATCGTTACTTTATATAGGCCATCTTGTAAAAGGAGCTTCTGCATATCCAGCCTTAATTATCCCATGCAGGGAAAGGGGGTTGGATGCATAACTGACTGGATAGTTCCTTTTTCTAGTCCAAGTGTATAGTTTCAGCTTTATTTTTCCAAAGCTGAAGCATACGCACAATTGTTATAAGTATGTGCATAATTTCCCTTATTAATGTTTAAACAGGATTCAGATTTTTTGTGGTTAGCACAAATTTCTTTCATCATTTTAATAGGAGGGCCTTGGAATATGTTGAGGCCTGAATTTGTGACATTTCTGAACGCCATTTAAATGGGAACTCTTTTCAGACTGGTGAACAGGTTGGCTGGCAAAATGTCTGCAACCATAATGTCTAAAATTGTAAACAAAATCTGAGATTCTTCTAATCTTTCCAGCAAACCTAACCATTTTTCCTTTCATGGGGCTCCTAAAATCTCTTCTAGGATAACCTGACTCAGTATGTTTTAATTCACAATAATAGATGGTATTTCTTGGAGATTAAAACTCATTTTAAGGGATAATTTTAGAACTACAAAATATTTTTTGGAAGTGTCATTATAAGTGAGTAGAATTTATATACACAATACCTCTCTTAGTTGAAAGCTACTAATCAGAGTGACCCCAGTACAATTTCTGCTACTGTGCACAATTGTCTGGAGATGTTTTTATTTGCATAAGAAGCAAGAACACAACAAAATGTACTTAGGTGAAACGACATTTGATATCTGTATAATAATAGGTGAGGACCCAGGGGAGGTTTGTATTTCTCTAAGTAATTGCAAATAAAAAGTGCATTCATTAAATAGCAAATTATACTGCAAAGGCTAATTGCAGTCCTCAAGAGAACCCTCTTTAGATTAAGCAGATTGCAAAACCTTAACTATGAGAGTATCTATAAGGATCTCTTCAAAAAGAGAATAAATGGCTTCTTGTGATCCTAGCCTTAAAAAGCTTTTGAAAAATAGCTTTTCAGTTTCTCCTTGTCCTGTCTTCTGCTTCTCAGAGAATTGTGTTATCATTTGACTTTCATGCAAAATGGCGGTCTTGTCTGTGTGCAGAATGAAAATACTATTGTGGCATTTTTGTGTGATATCACAATTCATGTTACAGATTAGGGCAACAAAATAATGGATAGCTCTTTATAACTATGTTCTCACAAGCCACCTGGGCCAGCATAGCAACAAAGTATCATATCGTGTTCCAGTGATGTCATAGCATTTGTTTTTTCTAGCTGTCTTGAAGTTCTCTTTATATAGTGGGGTAACTAACACGTTCTACAATAACACGTTATACAACAGCTGCTCTAACTTGCAGTTGTCGCAGGAGCAACTGCAATGTGGATCCACTTGTTAAACTTACCTTGTGCAGCAGGTGTCAAGTAGAGGTTGTTTCAAACCATTTCCACTAGGGAGTCGTTGGATTACTTATTTATTGAGTGCCATCCATATGCACAACTCTTTACAGAATACAAGAGTACAGATGATGGCTTATTCCCAGGTTTCACATCACATGTTTTTTACAACTGCTTAGCGGTTCTTCAGTTCTCATCCACCACGAACCTTTATTATTTCATTCATTAAGTGGCGGAGATCAGGTTGTACCAGGTTGCCCGAAGGAATCTAAAATCTGAATCTTTCCCACTTATTCCAGATGTACCTGAAGGGTGATTCTGGTTACTGGTCATGTGCACAAGAGGTAAGATTCAGACTGACTTCTGCTTTGGGGCTTTGGCAAGGAAGTGAGTTTTGCACAGATGCGTTCAGAGGGTGCCTGCTGTGCATTCGGTCTGAGTCAGAACTATGCTTCAGAAGATCCAATATTTCATGTCTCCCCATTGCAGGTGCACGTGTGTGTGTGTAAAGCGTCCCTATTTGTTAAGAAAAGGAGGTATGGACAGGAGAGGGAAATACTGATTTTGTGGGGAAGGCACAAAAACCTTAACGTCAGTCAGAAAGAGTCGAAAATGGAGGAGAGCAGGAGGTGGCGTACAAGTGGGCAAAAAGCCAGCGAATCCAAGGGATCAGATGCAGCAGAGGTCATCGGGGTCCCTGTACTCTGATTTAGACAAGTGCTCATAGACAGCAGGCTGGTGGAGCAGATGGGCACCAAAGACATGCTTTAGAACTCTAGTCCTCTAACTGCCTCTGCTCCATTCATGACAATTAATGCCTGTAGCTTTCCATTTTTTCACACCACTGAATGTCGTTGGCAGAAACAGAAGCTCCCTCTGAGAAGCTGACGCTTGACAAAGTTCAAGCAAATGGGGGCAAAGACTGTTGTGCAAGCCACTTTTAATTGTGACATTTCTTTGAAAAGGGAACTTTCTATACATTTATTTATTTGTTTGGAAGTATCTTGTGCTTATTAAATTGCTGGCATAATTGCACCTTCTGAGGAAAGTGAGCTTGCCAGATTTCAGACAACTAGGTACAAGGTGTTTCCTGCACGAGTTTCATTTACAGGTGGGGTCCCCCAAAAAGAGTTAAGTTCCCCTCCTTGTTTAGTGGCTACTTTGTATAAAAATAGCACTGATTGTAAGGTTGCCTCTCAGTAAGAAAACACAATTTCCTTTTATCTTTATTGCTTCCCATATCTGAAAGCAAAGTCCTGATGTTTCAGGGCACAGCCTTGGGCAGTGTGGCTCTGCCATATCTGTTTGAGCCAAGTGGCTGAATCTGAGCAGGACTAGGGCTCCCATGGGTCTGGATGCATCACTAAATCAGGCGAATTAGGAAAGTCAGTGGTTCCCTGCTGCCACCTGCTGTCCACAACCACCAATGCCTCACTTTGAGAACTCCTCAGAACAGCATACCAGGGCAGGTGGGTATTCCAGAGAATATGACTGACTGCTGTCCTTCTGGGGCAAATGTCACGGTAGGAAAGAAGCTGGCACGTCACTCTGGAGAATCTGATCCAATCCTTCCTCTGAGCACTGAGCAGGCAGGGAGCCTCAGAGGTGTTGGGTGGAGGAAGCCAGTGCCTGTCCTTCCTCTGGCAGCAGGACATCTTGCATCATCTTGCATTGTTATCATAGAATCATAAAACAGCAGAGTCAGAAGAGGCCAAGAAAGGCATTGGGACCTGCTTTCTGCTGTTGCAGGTCACCATTTCACACCATCCCACTCAGATGACTGTCTAGTTTTTCCTTGAATGTCTCTAGTGTGGGAGAGCCCATCGCCTCTCTAGGCAGCTGGTTCCACTGTCATACTGCTCTGACAGTGAGGAAACATGTCCTGCTATCTGTCCTGCTATCTGGGCTGTTGCAGCTTCACTTGATTATTCCATGTCCTACACTCTGGTATGAATGAGAAGCTATATTGTCCTTCCTCTTTGTGACAGCCTTTGAGGTATTCATGTCCACCCACCTAGGTCATCTCTTTTAAAGGCTGTTTGGTTATGTTTTGTGTTAAAGTTACACATTTCATTTCTATAGGACAGAAACAGCACATTTTTGTCCCCAAAAGCCACAGAAAAGGGACACTTTGGCCAGCTATGGCAATCCCTGGCAAAAGATTATGCTTGTTCATGAGAATAATGAAAAGGTACTTCAAGGCCACTGCTGCCCCCATATCTTGGCAGCCTTCCAGTGCTACTGGGACTACATCCAGCAGAGAAATACAGGGCTTTGATGCCAGGGCAGATAGCCAATCTGAGAAAATCTGTTGGAATAATGAATGGCACAAAGGATCCCTTTTTCCTGCTTTTCTCAACTAAATTGTTTTCCTCTCCTAAGAGCAGGAGTTTCAGTGCAGATAGCTGTAGCTTATAATGGAGCTAGCAGGGGTGCTCCTGTTTGCTACACTCATCAAATAGGAATTAAGGAATCATGTTATTTCATGATGAAGCAATATGTGTATAAAGCATAAGTGTCATCAACTGTGGGGCAGAAATGTTTCAGAACGGCTTCTTGTGCCAATGT